TTTTTTTTTTTTTTTTTTTTTTTTTTTTAAGGCTGGGCAATATTCTGCATATATACCACATCTTCTTTCTCCACTTATCTGTGGATGGACACTTGAGTTGTTTCCATATCTTGCTCTTCCATATTATAAATAATTCAGTATACATAGGGGGACCTATGTCTTTTTGAATTAGTGTTTTTGTTTCATTTGGGTAAATACCCAGTAGAGGAATTACTAGATCCTATGGTAATTCTATTTTTAATTTTTTGATGAACCTTCGTACTGTTGTCCACATTGGCTATACCAGCTCACATTCCCACCAAGGTTCCTTTTTTTTCCACATCATTGCCAATACTTGTTATTTCTAAGCAAGCTCATTATAAAGAAATCATTTCTTATGTGCGTTAAACACTGCTAATGTGACTGACAATCAGGATGAAATAACTAGTATTAAAATTACTGAGTTTAATAATTCTTGCTGAAAGCAAAATACCCTATTTTCTTAGTAATTGCAACTTTTGTTAGATTTTCTAAATAAAGAAAATGGCTCTTAAACCCCCACCTTCTTTGAGACCTCCTATAGAGGAGAGGGTACCTGGCTTGGGACATGACGTGCTGTGGGACCCAGAGGGCAGAATGGAGTTGGAGTAGTCGTTCTTTTCTGTGAGACAGACACTGGCGCCTGCCTTTCTCCTGTTATTTTCAGCCAGAAACCGCTCATAGTCTGAGATGGAGTAGCGTCGGCATTTAGGAGCTTGTTCTTCTCACCAGGTTGGGTTTCTATACTGGCAGAAGCAATGAAGTCTCCCCGCATAATGGAGGCCTCACATGCCGCCAGAACCCTGGCTAATCTAGACCGAGAGACCATGCGAGAAAAATACCAGGACGGCGTGTATGTACTACACCCCCAGTATCGCACAAGGTAAGAAAGCAAATGGTGTCGCTTTGTCTCCTGTGGGGAGGTAAGGCCTAGAGGGCTTATCTTTTTATTTTATTTCTGCGTAATTTAGATGTTAAATGCCTTACAGATAATCCTGATAACCTTATATACTGACTCCATTTGTCCATAATAACCTCAGAAGAATTGCAGGCTGTCATGAAAGTATGGAACTGGCTAAATTACCAGCGTGATTTTACACCAAGGGCCGACCTTCAGTAAGATAGTGTTCACCTCTTGGAGTGTGGCCCGCTTGAGTTTTGTAATGTGGGTTGTTTGTTTCACTGCTGGGTTCTTGGAGATCTGAGTTAATAGCTGATTAGGATTGTAGAGGTTGGTTTGCATGGAAGGACATAGGACACTCTATGCAGGCAATCCTATTAGTCTGGTTCTAGAACTCAAAAGGACTGCAGAAAGTTTATGCAAGTTATAAAATCATGCACTAGAAGGAGGAAGTTGTAATAAATTTGACTCCTACTCCTCAAGGTTATATCTGGTCACCATTTCCAGTTGTATCATTGCTGAGATCGTAAATATAGAAAGGACCACAATGAAAAACTTACATATTTCTGGGATTTTTGTCAGGCACTTTATGTATTTATTTATTTAGAATTTTTTTTTAAAGTTTTTATTCATTTATTTTGAGAGAGGGGGAGAGAGAATCCCAAGCAGGCTCCCTGCTGTCAGCGCAGAGCCCTTTCGCAGGGCTCGATCTCACAGAACCCTGAGAGCATGACCTGAGCTGAAATCAAGAGTCAGACCCTTAACCAATTGAGCCATCCAGGTGCCCCTTGTCAGGCACTTTAAAATAATACCTCAGAGGAGTGCCTGAGTAGCTCAGTCAGTTAAGTATCTGATTTCGGCTCAGGTCATGATCTCCTGGTTTGTGGGTTTGAGCCCTGTGTCAGGCTCTGTGCGGACAGCTCAGAGCCTGGAGCCTGCTTTGGATTCTGTGTTCTCCCTCTCTCTCTGCCCCTACCCTGCTCACACTCTGTCTCTCTCTCTCTCTGAAATAAATAAACATTAAAAAAAAATAATACCTCAGAAAATAGCAAAAACATTTAATTGAAAAATGGATTGCCTGGATAATTCCAATTTATAAACAAATAATATGGAAATGTATTTTATATGTATTGCATAATTGTGTGGGTACTATAAATAACTTACAAGTAATACTCTATGTCCAGTTTTTAAAAATGTCCTATCTAAAGACAATAAATTACCTTAAAATCTCATTTCTGCTAAACATTTCCCTTGATAAGTTTTAAAAAATCTCTCATGCATACTCAATTTGAAACTACACTAACTTAATTTCTTAAATACTGTTATTGATTTGTGGAGTATTCTCATGAAATTCTTTGGAGGGCAGTCTATGACATATGTTGCTTCATTGGTCACCAAACTTATTCCAGTTGACTTTGGTTGGTCTACTGGCTGGATCTGTGTCCACTTTTGTAGAGTAGCAAGCACGCTCCGTGTCTCTGTGCCCAGACTCCTTACAGGGATCCTCAGCGCACCTGTGCTTACACGGCCTGCCTTCGTGGTTTTACTTGCTGTCATATAAGCTTGCTAAGCACCATCCACAGAGTGCTGTGTAGATTCTTTCCCAAGCAGTAATGCGTTTATTCTGCTTCTTTTTAAAACTCTCTCCTCCTCAGTCAGCCCATTAAAGCAGATGTCCTTTTTATTCATGGCCTTATGGGAGCAGCATTCAAAACATGGCGCCAGCAGGACAATGAGCAGCTTTTAACTGAAAAGATTTTAGAGGACGATGCCAGGTATACAACATGTTGGCCTAAGGTAAGGAAGTGCTGACTTTGGTTAGGCCACCTTCTTCATGACACATTGGTGTCTCCAGCTGTCAGGGCCTCATTGTGATTTGCTTATTTTTCTCTTTCTACTGGGATTTTTCTTCCATGCAGATTTTCTGTTCCTTGGGGACATTTGTAGTATATTCCTGAACAGCTCGGCTTGTCACCCTGCCTTCTGTTGTGTAATTTCTGATCAGGGTGTGGGCTATAACTCTCAAGGAGTATTTCACTAAGTTAAAAAATGGGTGAGGGCCAGTATTTGTTCACTCCTATTAAAAATATAACCCATAACATATTCATAATAGTTAGCTAGTTCTGTGACTTTAATAATTATAAAAACAGAAATACTTTGAAGAAATAATTCTACTTTGGATTTCCTTGATGACATTTCTTCTGAGAGCCTTAATTCTGAGATGAATGCGTCCAGTGGAATATACCTAAAGTTCAGTGAACACGGTTGTTGCACACGTGCAGTTTCTTGGGCTTTGTCCCACCGTGGTTTCCTCACCTTCACAGAGGCTTATCCCGCAAAGAATGGTTTGCACTTGGTCTCTAGCAACACTGAAGTACGATAGACCCTGGGTCCACAGACAACTGTGACTCAATTAGTATCTCTGAGTTCCAGGTCAGATCTTCCACCGTCATATTCTCTGTGCTGAGATCATAACTTTCTATTAAGTGCTCTCCAAAATCTAATTTGATCTGGATTCCAAGAACTCCTTGCTTTTGGCTATAGTGCATTAAAATTGAGAATATGTTCTGGAAACTTGCATTGGCCTTATGCTTATAAATATTGGTGCCACCTTGTGACCAGAGACATAAAAAGATAAAACGTTGGAACTGGTTTTCTAGTCACCTTTAAACTTTATTCTAATGCTATGTTTATTAGTCGTCAGTATTACAGTGACCTTTAGTTACAGGTGTCAATTACTAGGAAATAACTGAAGCAGTGGAAATTCATATATGTTCTTTTGTACCTTTTAATCATATAGACATGGTTGGCAAGAGACTGTCCTGCTCTCCGAATTATATCTGTGGAGTATGACACCAGCCTGAGCGACTGGAGAACGAGGTGCCCGATGGAAAGGTAACAGAGGAAGTTGTGGGCTGGGAGGAAGGGCCAGGGTCCAGGCCACAAGTGGACCCTCTGGGGTGGGGAGAGGGGCTTTAGCTTTTGATGCCACAGACAGAATTTTATTATGAAAACCCTAGCCTTTTTTCTCTTCCTTCTAGAAGGAGTTAGTAATATATAAACAATGAAATAGTATAAGGCTTAGATACAGCGTCAATGTTGGATTCCTAAAGTGGTTCATTTGTAACTATTCTCATAGTAAGGACCAGTGGATTCTATAGCAAAGTCTCCTTTACTCTCAGAAGTAAACGTGAAGCTTTTTCCTTTCGTGTTCACAAGTATATTGACTAAAGGAAGCAAAGAAAAAGATGCTGAGCACTGTAGGCTCCCGGTGTCACTTGTAGGTCACATGTGCTGACTGTATATACATGAAGGAGCCCTGGACCTCTTGGCTCCGGGACCAAGACTGTAGCTGATTGTACCTTTGACCCACTGTGTGATCAACAAGCCATCTAACTTGTCTGGGAGGCTTGGTCTGCAAATTGAGAGAGTTGGTCGGAATCACTGTTACCAAACTGATTGGCACTGGTGAATGGCCCCCACTTAGGTGCCAGAGAAGTGTTCTGAGGGCCAGTGGGCAAGAGCTCAAGGGTCCTTCCCCATTTCACCTGGAGGAACTCTGACAAACCTTTATTGCAAGGAAAGGATTCTATATCTATAGTTTATTTTTATTAAAAAAAAAATTTTTTTTTAATGTTTTTATTTATTTTTGAGGCAGAGAGAGACAGAGCATGAGTGGGTTAGGGGCAGAGAGAGAGGGAGACACAGAATCCGAAGCAGGCTCCAGGCTCTGAGCTGTCAGCACAGAGCCCGACCCAGGCCTCGAACTCACGGACCGTGAGATCATGACCTGAGCTGAAGTCGGACGCTCAACCGACTGAGCCACCCAGGCACCCCTAGATAAACAGTTTAAAACTACCAGACTACACGGGGCGCCTGGGTGGCGCAGTCGGTTAAGCGTCCGACTTCAGCCAGGTCACGATCTCGCGGTCCGTGAGTTTGAGCCCCGCGTCAGGCTCTGGGCTGATGGCTCAGAGCCTGGAGCCTGTTTCCGATTCTTTGTCTCCCTCTCTCTCTGCTCCTCCCCCGTTCATGCTCTGTCTCTCTCTGTCCCAAAAATAAAATAAACGTTGAAAAAAAAATTAAAAAAAAATAAATAAAACTACCAGACTACATAGTTTTGAAGTTCCCTTTTTGTTTGAAAATTACTTTGAATTTTCTGATTCTGATAGCTTTCTGGCATTTCTAAATAACCAAAATGACGAAAGCTTAATGTTTGCAGCATAAATACAAGTAGAACTAACCAGCAATGGCAGGTGACCACATAGGTGAACTCACAAGAGACAACATGGTGTTATTTTCAGGCCACATAATGAGAAAGGACACACATCCTAAGTGGTGGGAGCAGTTGGTGCGAGACCCGAGCTTGACTTGTAAAAATTGCCACACGCATATTAGATGCTCAAACCCTGCTTGTTGAGTAAACGAGTGGTCTGTTCTGGGCCTGGATATTCCCAGTTATGCCAGTGTGACTAAGAAATGGGGAATGAGCAGTTGTAGAAATCAAGCAGAGAGAATAGGGGTATTCCTGACCCCAAAATGTAGTGTATGATATTGGCCCAAAAAAGTTCTTGTCTTAAAAAATTGGAGAATAAAATTTGTGGCGGGGAGGCAGTAGCCCCATGTTATTCCTGCTGGTTTCTTTTCGTTCAGGAAGTCCATTGCGTTCAGGAGCGACGAGCTTCTGAGGAAGCTCAGAGCTGCTGGTGTTGGGGACAGGCCAGTCATTTGGGTGTCACACAGCATGGGAGGTAAGTACATTTCATCGTTGTGAAGCCAGCGCTGTGAGGCTGTTGGAGCTGAGTTACCCCAGCTGTTTCACTTAACACTGGCCCTTTCCCCCCAAATTAACGTTTTTGGCTGTGGCTAAGTTTTTAAATTACTCTCCTCTCCTTCCCTGCTATTTGTTTTTCTACAAGGGGACCACAAGGAACAGGAGTTTGACAACATCATGATCTCATGTAGTGAGAGTCAGTAAACAGCAGAAGCAGTCTATGGCTTATATAAGCCTGACCTATAAATATCCCTCAGCATTCCTGGCTGGTCCTTGTGCTCCCCGCTTCCCTGCACCCCCGACCACTGCGGAGCCCACAGCCCCAGCCCCAAGCCTGCTGAAGGGGAGGTGTGATGGCATCTGGGACCTGGTGTAGGCTTGCTAAGCAACATCCCCTGCCCCTCCCAGCCCACTCCCCACCCCCTTTCTCTGCGAGTTTTCACCAGCTGCCCTGCAATGGGCCTTGTTGCAGCCTCTGACCTCGTTTATCTGATGAAACGCTCAGGATTGCAGACTCAGAGTTGGGGATTTTTCTCAGAGAAAGGAAGATGTAGCCGTTTGTGTCCGCAGAGGTCTACTGTCACCATCTAAGTGACCTTTGTGTTGCATCATCAGCTTCAAGCCCAGGGTAGGAGGACAGAAGAGATGGTGCCTTCCTGGGTGCATTTGCCTACGGAAGGTTTGTTTTCCTTGGGGGTTAAGCTTTAGGGGACTCTCTTTTGAATATTAGTACTGTCCTCATGGTGTGGCCATTAGTGGGTCACTGTGGGCAGGATGGGGAGACTAGTACTGCACATGTACTTCATTGATGGACACCCCAAATAGCAATGCCCGGCACTCCTTCTGTGGGACAGTGCATCCTGTGATAGAAGATCTGCATTTCAGGTGAGTTTGTAGAATCTTACCTGTTTGTAGGCTTGTGTTCTATACAGTTGGCCCTGGAATAGCATGAGGACTAGGGGCACTAACCCCTGCATAGTCAAAAATCTGCATATAACTTCTGACTCCCCCAAAACTTAGCTACTGATAGCGTACTGTTGACCAGACGCCTTACTGATAATGGTCAATAAATATGTTTTGTGTATGTATACCGTACTGTATTCTTACAATAGATAAGATCATGAGAAGATATATTAACAGTACTGTACGAAATCCATTATGAGTGGACCTGTACGTTCAAACCATGTTGTTAAAGGGACATCTGTATTCTACATTATCAAGTGCTAATATTTTAAAGCCCTGTCTGTTGGACTATAGAGAATTGTTTAAACTTTTAAAAGAAACATCTCTTTTTGTGTATATGTTCCCTACCACCACCCCCCTGCCCCGCTTTTTTTTTTTTTTAGAATAATGGAAGGAAGAAAAACAGCTCATGCATTCTTTTTCTTTGTACAACTAGGTCTTCTTGTCAAAAAGATGCTGTTGGAAGCCTCTAAGAAGCCAGAAATGAGTACTGTTATAAACAATACCAGAGGAATAATTTTTTATAGCGTCCCTCATCATGGATCCCATCTGGCTGAATACTCTGTTAATATTCGCTATCTTCTCTTTCCCTCCTTGGAAGTCAAAGAACTCAGCAAGGGTAATATTTACCTTCTGTCACGAAGGGAATTGGGATTGTATCACAATATTAGTTATACAGGACAAGGAGGAAGAAAGTGTCTAACTTGGCTATATTATCCCATTTTATTATTTGCACTTGGTCTTAGCCAAAAGGCCAAGAAGTGATCCCATTTTGTTATTTGTATACAAATCATGTTTAGACTGTCATAGAAAATTTTTAGTTTAGGCTTGATTTTTCTTTGATACTTTCCCTTAAGCCATTATTTGCTCAAATATAACAATTTTAATACTATCTTAAATATTTAAAATTTTAAGTATTATTCCAAATTACCAACGAACTGCTTTTTTCCATGAGTTCAGAAGGTCAACTTATTAAGACGTTAACAAAGTTTTAAGATTTTCAGGATAGTAATTATAATGCACTATCTTTACTTTGATTGATAAGCATTTTCTCTTTTTCTGGAACACCTATTGATCATTTTGGAGCCCCTGGCTGAGCCTTAATATATCACTTGTCTTTTTGTTCAGATTTGCTCTCCTGCTTTATGGAGAGTTACTTCATCTTCTAAACCTTCTATTGAACTTTATTTTTGGCAGTTGTTTTATTTTCCACAAACTCTTTCTTGTTCTCTGATTCTTTTGAAATCATCTTAATGATACTAATTCGAGGTTTTTCTTAAAGTTCTTTTCTGTTTCTTCACTGAGTTCTGTGTCTTCTGTGCCCAGGTTTTTTCCGCCCCCCCTTTCTTTTCTTTTTGTTCACCAGGTCTGTCTCTTTTAGGTTGTAGGGTATCTTCTAGGATATGGTCTGTCCTGGTTGCCTTTTCCTAGTTGAGGATGGGGGACAGGCACTCTGTGATTAGAGACAGGCTCTGTTGATGGGAGGTTGGGCTTTAGGGTGAAGGTGCCAGCCAGCACACTGAGGGACCCCTCAGTCCCACATACCACATTGCCCTACCTACTTCCAGTCAGCCAGTAACATGTGGAACCTCTCCCTCTGCCTGCTGGCCTCTGTCAGTTCTGGGGTGGCTTTAACTCTTTAGTCTCATCTTAACGGCTTCTTGGGAAGGAGAAAATAAGCCACGAACTTTCATCAGGACCCTAATTTTCTCTTTAGTACATTTTATTATGAATTGGGTAAACAATTTGTCACAGTCTTGTTTTCTGTAATTTTACAGATTCTCCTGCACTTAAAACACTACAGGATGACTTTCTGGAGTTTGCTAAAGACAAAAACTTCCAGGTGCTGAATTTCGTGGAAACACTGCCAACTTACATTGGTAGCATGATTAAACTGCATGTGGTACCTGTGGAATCAGCAGGTATTCACTCTTGCGAAATTTGTTCCCTATGAGATGCCTAGTTGGTGGTACCTATATTTAATCAGAAGCAACCCGTTTTTATGTTCAGCTTCTCAGTTAAGGAGACAGTTTTAAGGAGATCTAGATTCTATGATTCTTTTCAGCTATAGATTAAAATTTCTCTGCCAACATACAACCTTGGCATTACTCCTCTCCATCCCTGCATTTAACTGACTAGCTGGCCAGGGTTCATTGGCTACTTCTAACTTAGCCATAACCAGTGAGCTCTGTCGCATGAAAGTAAGAATACAGAGCCCTTGTGTCAGAACGAAAGGAGCATTTCATTTAACAGACTGATGATTGATTTGTTAAAGGTTTCTACATGCAGCTAAAAGTGTGGAAGCTTTAGTAAATGGAGGATTGTATTTTTTTTTTTAGTTTTTTCCATTGGAATCTTAGATGGGGAATATTCAAACACCAGTTTTGTTTTTTTTTTTTTTACAATACTGGAAATAACCAATACCTGTTACTATGGTGTATTATAATGTATCACAGGCTCTTTGAGGGTAGGGCCCAACTCTTAATTCTCTTTATAGCCTCCGATATTACTCTGTATGTAGTATATAACCCACACATTTCCCTTCTTGAACCGCTTTTCCCTCACCTGGTCAACTGGATCACCTCTGATACAGGGCTGGGTGCTATCTGGTGGTATTTGGCCATACTGAGGGCTCTCAGGGACAGTGTGGCTCTGGAGTGTCTGGCAGATGGTTCTTCAGCCTGTATAACAAGTTTTGTCCTAAGTCCATTATGTATTGAGCCTAAAGAGGCTTTACCGCAAAGTAATACCCCATAGGGTGAGGAGTTCATGGGTTGAAGAACTTACAAAAAGGACTTTGGAACTAGGACCTCTTGTCACTTCCAGCTAGGTGACTTTGTTAGGCTGAAACATCAGAAACTCTACTAGATCTCTCAAGCACTAAATCCTCTTACCCTGGTAGAGTGAAAGATGAATCCCATGTGAGACGTTCCCATTCTTGTCAGGATAAGGGAGCTCGTTATGAAGTATAACAACATAAACTCTAGAAAAAGAGGTGGTTAAAAGAACCGTGGAATAATTTAGTAATAACATGCAAATATATAAAGGTTTTGAGGATGATACTACTCAGGTTCTGTTCACTGTTAGCAAGTAGGCCAGAACACATAAATTCTACAAAGAGTTTATGAAAAGCATAAAATTATACCTGAGAATCCATTCTCATGTGATTAGTCGCATGTAGTTTAGCAATGGTCACACTTCTGGTTCCTTTATCTTTTTAGAGTCCATTAGCACCACCAAATCACATTTGGAACCACCCAACTGTCCTCGTTCAGTATTGACAGGGGAAGCCTCCATTTTTACTTAGATTTTGACATTTTTGTTTTCTTCAGATTTAGGCATTGGAGATCTAATTCCTGTGGATGTTGACCATTTGAACATTTGTAAGCCAAAGAAAAAAGATGCTTTTTTATACCAGCGTACCTTACAATTCATCTGTGAAACTTTAGCCAAAGATCTTGAAGACTGACCGTTATCCTCTTCCATTTTGCAAGAAATTTGGTGTTCTCTTTCTCTTTTAAAGCTCTAAGCAATCATGCAAACATATTCCCTATGGCATCACTGTGGTCTGAAGCATGTTGCAGGCAACAGCCTATTCTCATTTCATGCACTGAAAAGCACAAACCTAAAGTGGCAATCAAAGAATGAAGGGCTAGACTGGATTCTTTTGGTTTAAAAGAAATTCCATGTGCACTAGCTTATGTTTTGCAGCGTTGGCCCTGGTGCAGAGAGCAAGCTGCTACGGACAGAGACTGCCTTTTGTCATCTGTGACTGTCTCCAGCTCATACCAGGAAGAACACTGATGGTTTCTCAAGGGAGAGCAATCATCACCTTCCATAAAAATGCCATTTGGAGAGTACCTAGACTAGAGAGGAGACTGAACTATGGAATATAATATATAGAATATAAATATTTTTTGTTCTGGGTTTCCATGTGCTGTAAATTTAAAAATATATATCTGTGTAAACCTTTGTCTAACATTAACTGTCAGACTTGTCATCCATGGGCAGTTCCTTACAAGTTTTTATTTTCATATTGCTGAGAACAAATAATTCTCTTTTTAAAAGAATTGTAGCCTCTAGTAATTCTTTCCAGATTGCAGCTACCTATACTTGTAATTTTTCCCAGATAAGGATAAAGTAGCTAATCCATTATATATATATATATATATATATATATATCAGCAGTACTTAGTATGAAGATTCTCTGATTCTCTTTAGCTAAGTAACATAGACCTTTCTTTCATGCTCATTTGAAAGTTGCATCAATTGACCTTGAGCATGTAAGAAATATGAAATCACGTTAATGACTTTTTAGTTTTAACAGCATTAAGATAGAAATCGCGTAATATTGATCCTTTTAAACATACAGTTGGTTTTTAGTGTATATACAGAGTTGTACGACCCTCCCCACTATGTAATTTCAGAACATTGCATCATCCCCCAAATTAACTCTATACCCATTAGCAATCACTACTCACCTCCTTTCCCTTCAGCTCCTGCCAAACACTAATCTACTCCCTCTATGGATTTGCGTATTATGGACATTTCATATAAATGGAATCATACAATGTGTGGCCTCTGTGTCTGCCTTCTTTTAGCATAATGTTTTCAAGGTTCATGTATGATGTAGCATGTATCAGTACTTCATTCCTCTTTATGGTCAAATAATGTTCAGTTGTGTGGAGATATACATTTGTTTATGCATTCATTGGCTGATGAATATTTAGGTTCTTTTCACTTTTTGGCTATTATGAATAATGCTGCTGTAAACACGTACAAGTTTTTATGTGGACATATGTTTTCCATTCTCTTGGATATAAGGAGTGGAATTGCTGGGTCCTTTTAAACCTATCTTTAGCATTTTGAAGATGGTAGACATTTGTAGAATGGGATAACCAAAGCTAAAACTATAAAGTACAGCATCTGAAGGTAAACTCAGGTCACCAGTAAACTCTCAACATGTAATTATGAACCAACCTAACAAGTGACTTAACCACTTGTTTTATTATGTAGATACAGTGAATGTAAGGATTAGCTAGCAATGGTAAGCTGACAATAAATACTAGCTAAGGGAGATCGATTTGCAGCTCTTAAAAGCTGCAGCCTGAGGTTCAGACTTCTAATTCACCACACCTCTAGAGGCTGACTGTGATCCTCCATGGAGACTGGGGAGGCAGATGGGAACCATATCTGCATTCTCCCTCTGGCCCATTTTAAGTCCCTGGTGTTTCCCTGGGAGAACCTTGCAAGCCAGTGCCCTGGCTTTTGTGGCTGCTACCCAGAGAATGCACCCCTCAATTGCTGGGCTCTGGTGGCCAGCAGGGCTTGTGTTTGGGGGTCCCTCAGGACTACAACAAACACAGAAACCAGTCAGGGCTCAGCACAGGCAGAAACCCCCATCTTGCAGTCTTCCCCTAGAAAAAGTCTATTTACATACTTTAAAAGCCCAGCTTCCAGTCAGCCTACATCTAGGTACTGATAGATCCTCCCCTTTGTAACATTGACAGGTTTTGGCAGATTCCCAACTAGTAGCAGATATTAAGAACAAAGAAGGTGGTTTGGACAGTCACAAAGCTTTGAGAGATAATCAAGAACTCAGACTGAATGGCAAGTTTCGTCTAAACAAGACCACTCTGTCAAGACTGGGAGAAGTGACTCCTTGATCTAATGTACAGAAACCAACAGAGTGTTGAGGAAAATGAATAAACATGAATATAGAAGATAAAACTTGAGAAATAGATCTTAATAAGATGGAGATAAGTAATTGACCTGAAAGAGTTCAAAATAACGATTTTCATGAAAGACAGAAAATGTAATCAAGTACCAAACAAATCACAGAGCTGGAAAATACAGTAAGAAACTGACAAATTCAATAGTGTTTCAATGACAGACTAGACTGTGTGGAAGAAAGGATCAGCAAACTCAAAGATGGCAGTGGAATTCATCCAATCAGAGGAACAAAAAGAAAAAAGAATGAAAAAGAGTGCTGATTTGGGACTTACGTGCATTATGGGACTCCTTGAAGGAAAAGAGAAAGGGACAGATGGCTTATTCAAAGAACTAATGGCTGAATTCTTCCCCAGCCAGGAAGCCCAGAGAATACCAAATAAGATGAATCCAAACACATCCACACCAAGACACATAATTGCCAAAAATTAAAAATGAGAGAATCTTAAGAGTAGCAAGAGAAAAATTGTTATGCACAAGAGAACACTAGAATACTATTAGATTTTTCAGCAGAAACTTTGCAGGGCAGAAGGGGGTGGCATAATATATTCAAAGTACTGAAAGAAAAAAATTGGCAACCAAGAATACTCTACCTGGCAAAGTTCTTTGGAATTGAAGACCTAAAGAATTTTCCAGACAAGAGCTTAAGGAGTTCATCACCACTAGACCAGCCTTACGTGAAAGGATAAGGGAATCCTTCAAGCTGAAATGAAAGGATACTAATTAGTAACAAGACATATGAGGGTATAAATCTCACTCGTAAGGGTAAATATGTAATTAAATTCAGAATACCCTAATGTTATAATAGTGATGGGTAAATCACTTGTAAATCTAGTATGAAGGTTAAAAGACAAAAGAACTAAACTATAATTTGTTAATGGATAGACAACATAAAAATACATAATTTGTAACATCAAAAAAATGGGAGGAGTAAAAACAGAGCTTCAGTGGGCATTTGAACTTGTTAGTTTAAATAAACTTATAAATATGTTTTATGTAAGCTTCATGGTAACCTCAATGCAAAAACATAGTAAATACACAAAAGAGAAAGCAAAAGGAAAACAATTAGATCAGACATGGAGTTACTACTGCTATCTTATTAACAATTACTTTAAATATAAATTGATTTCTCCAATCAAAAGACAGAGTCATTGAGTGGATTGGAAAAAAACAAAACTATATGCTGCTTATAAGACACTCACTTCAGCTTTAAGGATACACACACACTGAAAGTGAGGAAATGGAAAGAGACATCCCATGCAAATAAAAACCAGAAAGCCAGGGTAGCTGTATTTCTAGCAGACAAACTTAAAGCTAAAGATTGTAATAAGGGGAAAATGTCATTATATAATGATAAAAGGGCTAATCCAACAAAGAATATAACATTTGTAAATATTTACAACATAGCACCTAAATATATGAAACAAATATTAACACAACTGAAGAGTAAAATGCACTGCAATATAATAGTAGCAGGGACTTTAATACCCTGCTTTTCAACAACATATATATCATCCAGACAGAGAATCAACATTGGACTTAACAGATATTTACAGAACATTCCATCCAACGGTAGCAGAATACACATTGTTCTCAAGTACACACAGAACATTCTCCAGATTAGGTCATACATTAGGCCACAAAACAACTCAATAAATTTAAGACTGAAATCTTATCAAGTACCTTTACTGACCACAATGGTGTGAAACTAGAAATCAATGAAAAGAAAACTGGAAAATTCACAAATACGTAGAGATTAAACAACATGCAACTGAATAAGCAGTGGGTCAAAGAAGAAACAAAAGAAAAAATACCTTGAGATAAAATGGAAATACAACATACCAAAACTTGGATGTAGCAAAAGCAGTTCTAAGAGGGAAATTTACAACAAATGCCTACATTAAAAAAGGTTTCAAACAACCACCTTTGTATCTTTTTTTCTTAATTTTTTTTTAATGTTTATTTTTGAGACAGAGACAGCATGAGCAGGAGAGGGCAGAGAGAGAGACCCAGAATATGAAGCAGACTCCAGGCTCTGAGCTATCAACACAGAGCCCAAAGCAGGGCTTGAACTCACGAGCCGTGAGATCATGACCTGAACCAAAGTCTGATGCCCAACCGACTGAGCCACCCAGGCGTCCCCCGACCTTTATATCTAGAAAAAAACAAACTATGCCCACAGTTAGTAGTAGGAAAGAAAGATCAGAATGGAAATAAATGAAATAAATTCTTAAAAGAGCAATGAAATTCTTAAGAGCTGGCTTTTGAAAAGATAACATAGATAAACCTTTAGCTACTCATAACAAGATAAAAGGGAGAGAGGAGCCATATAAAATTAGAAATGAAAGAGGAGGTCCTTCCGCTGGGGGAGCCATTGAGCAGCAGTCATGGCTCTGTGCTACCCTATGGCCATGGACTCAGCAAGGTGTACAAGGTGAACCTGAGCACAGCCGCTGCTGCAGGCACCTCACCAAGCACACCAAGTTCATGTGGAAGATCCAAGAGGTGTGCGGCATCGCCACATAGGAGTGGCATGCTGTGGAACTGCTCAAGGTCTCCAAAGATCAGTGCGCCCTCAAATTCATCAAGAAAAGGGTGGGGACATATATCTATGCCAAGAGGAGGAGAAAGGAGCTGAGCAACATCCTGGCAGCATGAGGAAAGTGGCAGCCAAGAACTGAATTCCTCCCCTTTAAGTAATAAAGCCTTTTTGGAACTTAAACACACACACACACACAC